TGAGGATCAAACCCAGTGCTGCACATGTGCTAGGCAAGTGCTCTACCACTGAGCTGCAAACCCAGCCTCTATAATATAATATTTTAAACTAATAAGATAGCTTTCTTGTGGCCTTTAATATTACTAATATATTAATATACATACATACATGCATATTGTGACTTCTTATAACAATAGAATAACTTACCTGTGGCCTTCTATATTAATATTATATCCATACACAAATATAATAGATCTCTTCTGGCCTTCAATATCAATGTAGCATTCCTACTACAGTATCTCAAAACTAATATACTCCCTGTCCTGTGCTCTTAGTACTAATATGGCATCCATAAAATAGCAACTAAATCTTATGTAATATCTGCTATGTGACCTTTAATGCTAATGTAGCATATAAAACTAATATAATAGCTGCCCTATGGCCTATAATAATAAGATATTAATACTATAGCATCTAAAACTGAAAGAACAGCTGCCTTATGGCCTTTAGTACTCATATGATATTCATATTATAGCATATAAAACTCATGTGATAGCTGCCTGTGGCATTTAATGCTGATATGGTATCCATATAAGAACATCAAAAACTGATAGATTTGCTGTGGGTTTAATATTAACATGATATCCATATGGTGGCCTCTAAAACTGAAATAATAGCTGCCTTGTGTCCTTTTAATACTAATCCAGTATCTAAACTGTAGCATCTAAAACTGATATAATAGGTGCTCTGTGGCCTTCATTACTAATACATCTATAATTATAGCATCAAAATTTAATATAATAGCTGCCCTGTGGCATTTAATACTAACATGATATTCATATTGTAGCATATAAAACTGATGTGAGTGCTGTGCTGTGGCCTTTTATACTAATATGATATCCATAGTATGGCACTAACATGAATATAATGGCTGTTCAGTTGCCTTCAATACTAATACAGTATCAATACTGTGGCAGCTGGAACTAATAAAATATCTGCCCTGTAGCCTTAAAGACTATTATATTATCTATATTATAGCTTCTATAGCTAATAGATTGTCTGTTCTTTGGCCTTTAATATTAATATGATATCCATATTACAGCTTCTAAAACCAATATAAAAATGGCCTGTTGCCATCTAACCCTAATATGAATATGATATCCATACTTTAGCCATAAAACTAAAATAACAACTGTCCTGTAGCATTTAATATTAATATAATATGCATTATTTGGCCTGCAAAACTAACATAGTAGCAGCCATGTGGCCCTTAATATTAATATAATACATACACTGTGGCCTATAATGTAATATAATGGCTGTCTCATGGCCTTTAGTACCAACATATTCATACCATAGTATCCACAACTAATATCATAGTTTTCCTTTGACATTTACAATTTATATAATATAGGTATTATAGATTTTAAAGCTAATGTAACAAGTGCCCTGTGACCTTTAATTTTAATATAATATCTATACTATAGTATCTAAAACTAATATGATAGCTGCCCTATGATCTTTAATATCAACATGATATCTATACAATAGCATTAAAATTGATATACTAGTCCCCTGTGGCTTTTAACATTAATATAGCATCTTTAGTAGAGTATCTAATACTGATATTATAGCTGCCCTGTGAACTTTCATGTTAATATGATGTAGATACTATAGCAACTAAAACTAATTAAATCACTGACCTCTTTCCTTTATTATTAACATAATATCCAAATACATTTTCTATGGCCTTTAACATTAATATGATATCCACAGTGTGGCCTCCAGAACCAATTTAATTGCTTCAATGTTGCTTTCATGCTAATATGATGCCCATAAAATAGCATCTACAACTAATGCAATAGCTGCACTGAGGCCTTGGCATGAATTTGATATTAATACCATGGCATCTGAAATGAATATAATACTTGACCTGTGGCAAGTAATACTAATATAATATTTATTACATAGTATCTAAAGTTAATATAATAGTTAATCCTGTGTCCTTTAATATTACTTTGATATCCTGCTAGAATATCTAAAACTAAATGATAGCTGCACTTTTTCTTTTATTTGTACTATTCATAGTGTAGCATCTGATACTAATATATTAATATTCATGTAACATTTTTATTTAGTATCTAAAATTAATATAATATCTGTACTGTGGCTTTTAAAGCTAACAGGATATTAGTATCATAAATAGGTATCATAGCATCAAAAACTAATATGTATACTGTATCATCTAAATCTGACATAATATTTGTCCAATGGCCTTTAATAGTAATATAATATCCATACTAGAGCATATACAACTAATGTATTACTGCCTTGTGCCTTGTTACTATATCCATAGCACAGTATCAAAAGCTGATATCATAGCTGCACTGTGGCTTTTAACTCTTAAATAATATCAATACATAGCATCTAAAATTAATGTAGTAGCTGATTTGTGGCCTTATTATTAATTTGATATCCATAGTGAAGCATGTAATACCAATATAATAGTTGTCTTATTGCCTTAATACTAACATATTTTCCACATGTAGCACATAAAACTAATAAAATAGCTATGCAGTGGTGCTAAAGACTAATCTGATGTCCATAGTGTAGAATCTGTTACTAATAGATTTGATGCCCTCTAGCCTTTAATATTATTATAATGTTTATACTATACTTTCTACAATTTATACAATAGCTTCTCTGTCACTTTTTATGTTACAGGAATATCCATAGTATTGCATCTAAAACTAATTTTATATCTTCCCTGTGGCCTTTAGTACTAATATTTTATCCACACTATGGCATCAAAAATTAATATAATAGCTCTACTGTGGACTTCAATATTAAAGCCATTCTTTAATCTCTAAAACTAATATAACAATTGACCTGAGACCTTTAATATTAACATAATACCCATACTTTTGCTCTAAAACTAATATAATAGCTGCCACATGGCTTTAATGTTAATATAATATTCATACTGTGGCTTATAAACTAATATAATGGCTACTTTTAATACTAATGTGATATACATAGTATAGAATAAAAAAACTAATAGCTGCCCGTGGCCTTTAATATTAACATAATATCCGTACTTTTGGCCTCTAAAACTTAACATAATATCTGCCATGTAGCCTTTAATATTAATAGAATATACAAACTGTGACATATAAACTTATATAATGGCTGCCCTGTGGCCTTTGATACTAATATGACTTCTACATGTCATATCCAAGACTAACAAAATAGAGCCCCCTTGTTTTAGTCAGCTTTTTTCATTGCTGTAACTAAAAGCACAATTGTAGAAGAGGAAAGGTTCATTTGGAGGCTCACAGTTTCAGAGTTCTCAGTCCACAGACAGCTGGATCCATTCCTTGTCTTTCAGGATGAGGCAGGACATCATGGTCGAAGAGTGTGGTGGAGGAAAGCAGCTCTCATGATGATCATAAATCAGAGACAGAGAAAGAGATCTCCACTTGCCAGATACAAATATATCCCCAAAGACATGTTTCCAATGCCCCAACTTCTTCAGCCACACCTCACCGGCCTTCAGTTACCACTCAATCAATCCCATCAGGTGATTAATTTACTGATTGTGTTAAGACTCTTACAACCCAATCTCTGAAACTTCTTGCATTGTTTTATACATGAATACTTAATTCATTCCTAAGAGTCCCCATAGTTTCAATAGTTCCAATATTGCTCAAAGTTCAAGTCCAAAGTTAAGGCAATATTGCATTTTGAGCTCCCATAAAATTAAAAGCAATTTACAAGTATCCAATATATAATGGTACAGAGCAAACATTTCCATTCAGAAAAACAGGGGCATAGAAAGAAGGGATAAGAACAAAGACTGAAATCCAGCTGGGAAAACAAGTTCTGTAGTTCTGTGACTGGCATCTGGAGCACATAGCATCATGATGTTCTCTCCAAAGGGCTTGAGTAGATCTGCCCCTGTGGCCTTGTGGTTTGTAGCCAAGTGGCTTTCTGTTGGCTTGTCTCCACTTGATTCCTGCAGCTTTCTTAGGATGGTGTCCCACATTACTGGCATTTCTTAATCTTGGGGGTCTCCACTGCAGCTTTGGTTTCCTCCTCACACCTCCACACTTTGCCCTCTCAGGGGCTGCCTGCATGGACTCCAACCCTGCTGCACTTTGCCTGGTTTCCCAGGCCTTCCTTTGAAATCTTGGTGGAAATCTCTATGACCCCCTAACTCCAGCATCCTGCATTCCTGAAGAACCAGCACCACATGGTTGGTGCCAATGTCTATTGCCATTCCAAGCAATAAGTGGTAAAGCCTTCAGGAACCTTGGATGCAACAGCCTCAGAGTGTCTGGTGGAAGCATGTTGAAAAAACTTTCTAGGCCCCCTTGTGCAAGAAGGATCCCCCAGGGCTGGGGATGTGGCTCAAGCAGTAGCTTGCTCCCTGGCATGCATGTGGCCTGCGTTCGATCCTCAGCACCACATACAAACAAAGATGGTGTGTCTGCCGAAAACTAAAAGAATAAATATTAAAATTCTCTCTCTCCCTCTCTCTCTCTCACTCTCTCTCTTTAAAAAAAAAAAAAAAAAAGAAGAAGGATTCCCCATTGGTCTCCAAGAGAATTTTCACTTTTACTCCCTTGGGCCTGAGTTGGGTGTGGTCTTGCTAGCTCCTGAGATGCCCTCAAGCCATCTTTTTTTATTGTCTCTGGGCAAAGTCTTTAGCATTTCATTAGTAATGGTAAAGTCTTTAAAAACTGCAACTTCCTTGGTCCCAGTTTTATTCCCATCTTTCAAGTTCATGTTTTTCAAATTTGTTCTGCTTTCTGCTTCTGAATGTCAAAATAAACTTGGCTAAAAGCCACCAACAATACCCATGCCACTTCCTGAATTCTGTGCTGCCTAGACATTTCTTCTGCCAGGTTAAGATGGGTATCACTTTTAAAATCAGCCTCACAGAAAGTCTCATGACATAAGCAAAATGCAGACAACTTCTCAGCCAGAACATAACATTAATGGCCTCTAGTCCACTTACCAATAGTATCCTCCTCTGAGCCCTCTCAAGCCCTTTCTTCACTGTTCTTGGTCCCATTGGCATTCTGGTCTTCTGAGCTCCCACAAGAATTGGCCACTAAGTTCTGCTTACAACAGTTTAAACCATTTTCAGCTTGCACTGTTGAGCATCTCAAAATTTCTTGCACCAATTTCAAAAGAGCTCCAAAAGCTTCTGAACCATATGGTGAGGTTAGTTGTTGAGAGCCACAGCCGAAGGGGCCCCAGCAAACTTCCAGCTGCCA